TCCGGGAGTGACGCGCGGTGACGTGCTGCCAAGATGGCAATGGCAGGCTCCGCCCACTTTGAGCTTCAAAAACGCTCTTCAGAAACCTACGGGTGACGTCACGGACACTACGTCCATGTTTTTATACAGTCTATGTATACAACATATAATCGTCACTTCCCTACAGGTACTGTTTACTAACAATGTGATAGCGCCAACTACTGGCCTGGCATACGTAATACAGCGTTTTTGGCCATTTTCGCGGATATGTGTAAACGTGAATCATTTTGAAAACGTTGTCATATATACGTGAAACTTTTTAAAAACGCAAGGGAAAAACTTTTCCGTTTTTGACTACATCATTGTCGTGTAAACGTAGCTTCAGTAGCATCTCTACAAAAATGAGTCAGACAGGAAGATTTAATTGGACGCTTTTAATTTCTGCCTATAAATACGACATCATCTTTGGCAGTGTTCAGCGCATATGAATGCAACGATACAAAGGACACTTTTGCTGTAGTAGCGCGGACACACATACCGGAAGCGTTCACTCAGATGAGAGCGCAAAAACACAGCACAAAAATTCATGAAACAGATCGCTGCAGCTTGAGACAGGCTATTTAAAAGTAACTGTTCAAAAACAGGCCGCATTAAAGGGGTGATGTTGCTAAAAATAACATTATTTTGTGTATTTGGTGTAATGAAATGTTTATGCGGTTTAAGGTTAAAAAAACACATTATTTTCCACATACTGTACATTATTGTTTCTCCTCTATGCCCCGCCTTTCTGAAACACGTCGATTTCTACAAAGCTCATCGGTCTGAAAAGCGAGGTGTGCTGTGATTGGCCAGCTATCCAGTGCGTTGTGATTGACCGAATTCCTCAAGCGTGTGACGGAAATGTTACGCCCCTTAACACACTGTCTGTGATGCCGTCTCCTGGCACAGCGAGACAAAACCAATAAAACCCATTACAAACAAGGCATTTGTTGCATCCAGTGGGGACATAATTACTGATTATAATGACTTATACTGTGTTTTTATACATTGCGTATCGCGTCGTGTAAACATAAAACCATGTCTGCATTTGTGATTGGAGAAACGACAAACAACAAGCGCTACTCGCGTTTGAATCGTCAGTGGCAAATTCTTTAAATATAAAAAATGTACTTACAGGCTGTGAGTCAGAAGTGCCAGACTGTCCTTGCAAAGTTGGAACTGCCCCACTTTATAGAACAGCCTTTGAGCACAGTCCCATTGTATGCTACTCTGCAGGTTCAGGAAACAGTCTTCCATAAAATGCGTCACACAGCATCACAGCGGGCTTGATTGAGGAACGGCAGGCGGACTTGAGAACGGCGCGGCTGGCAGATTCGACGAAGGAGTGGCCGGCGGGCTTCCGGCAACCACATGTGACGACCCCGGGCTGGACTCCGCTTCGTCCACGGTGAAAGCCGATCAGGCTATCCACAGCACTAAGTTGATGTATTTCCTCAGCGACCAGCACGGATCAGCTCTAGGCATGACGAAGTCCTCTTTTGGAAGACCAAACAAAGTAGTTTCGCTTTCACAATGAAACACACAGTGCCTTCACGACATGGCGGCGGCGGCAACAATACTACAGCGAGAATAAAAGTTACGCCTTCTTTCTTTGCGTAAACATTTGGGTGGTGTTATGCAAATCTTCCCACACAGTGATGTAGACATGTGGGGGCGTGTTAGAACGAGGAGGGCGTGGACAAGTCTTAACTTTTATAAAGAATATCTCTTTGGATTTGAGACTTTAGTCTTTGCAACTTTACAGATCTTCTTTATGCACCAAGAGCTTGTAACACTCCAAAGAGAAAGGACAAATTGAAATCGCATCATATGACCCCTTTAAAAACGTGAAGCTGAGCGCCAGTCAAGGTCACGACGAAAATATTGTGCATGCTTATTATGATTATTAGGGTAATCTGCAGGAAGCGTAAAAATACAATAAAGTGTGAGTTTTTCAGTGTGTCGTGTATTCACTTTTTTAAGAAAAGTATTTTAAAAAAATTAAGATGTTCTTTAGAATATATTTGAGAACTTAAGAATTTTTCAAGAATTACACTTAAGAACACTCTTTCGAACTTTGTGGAATTTCTTAAGAAGATTTTCGTAAATCCAGCCCCTGAAGATCTTTTTCCACTATATAGAACCTTTTGTGCAACTGAAAGATTCCGTGGATTTTAAAGGTTCTTAATGGAACCACTGATGGCAATAAAGAACCTTTTATTTTTGTGTATAAAAGATTTTTGTTGCATTTTTTAATCTAATTTTGATCATTTTGATGTTCATACTTTAGTTTGCTTATAGGAGGCGCTCTTATACGATGTCCATGCCCAAGGTTCTGCCATTTTCATCACTTGTGAAGTGCACTAGTGTTGGGTGATATGCTCAATTGTCAGCCTGTGAGATCGCCGATACACGCTATTATCGTACTAATTTATTTAATTATTTATTTACTCCGTTTACTGACTTTAGTCTAGCGCGAGTTTATGCACTTTAATAACACTCCCGTTATAATCAGTGAAAATATCTACACTGCATGATGAATAAATCTCTTATATTTACATCGCACGTACATCTGCACTTTGTTGTTTATGATGAGAGAATTTGCAAGAGCATGCGCTGAACAACAAAACTCCGGTGTTTCAGCGATGACTCATCTGAACGCCTGAGTTGAACTCTGATTGGCCATTGCATTCATAAAGTGGCTTTAACGTGCAGCACTGTAAAGAACAAATAAGCCCTAATATTAAATTAGATAGTATTACTAGCCTGATAATAATAATAATCGTCTTGCTATTGTCAAGGCATCAGCTACTCTGACTATCGTCGATACGATATCAGCACAACCCTAAAGTGCACATCTATCATTACTAACAATTTTATAAAGGCGCTTATATGCATGTTCGGTCTCAACACAGAGGTTGTTGTTTTTTTTTTTCATTAGAATAACTGTAAAGCTGGACTGAAGTAATCTGGTATGATCCTGCCACAGAGCAGCTGCTGTTGTTTAACGCGTGTTTGTTAGAGATTTAGTGTGATAGACCGATAGACCGCTTCATACTGCACCATAATCTACATAAACTAGAAACTACAGGTTATCAAGAGCAAAGTACACACCATTCATGACCATCGTAATATTATGAACTATATTAAAGACAACTGTGTTTGCAGAGCATTTAACTTCATATTGTAGCATATTTTAGAGTGAAAAAGAATAGTCAACAAATGAGGGACAGGACTTGATTTTATCACTCAAGATTTGATTGAATGACAATTTGTAGGGCTTTTAATAATTTATTACTAGTTAATATCATGTTACGCATCTCACGTGGTCTTGGTTACATTATACTGTAAAGAAATGAAGGTTGATACATGCTGTTTAAGAAGAATTAAAACATTTAGACTAATGTACGACCTCTCTAACATTTGTATCTGTTTAGGTAATAGTCAAATAGTTCTTGTAGTTTCTGTAATACTAAAAATGCCATATTTTAAAAACACAAGTACTATTTAACATACTTTTTAAATTCGATTTGTATTTTTTTTAAGGTAGTTATTATGGAAATAATATACTTTAATATATTTAAGCGTTAACTGAATGTAATGTTTTCAGACTCATGTAAATATTTATATGATGTGTATTTGCTGTTTAGTGCATTTAATTTAATTAGCTTTAAATGGTATATTGAACAACAGACTTTTGTTAAAATTACTTTACATGTGCATTAGTATGTTAGTTAACACATCAAAATAAGTGTATAACAATTAAATTGTTACATTTTAGATTATAAAAATATTTAAAATGTACTTCAAAATGTTTAATTTGATATCGTATTTCAGTAAGTGCACTTTTTAAAAGTGTACCTAAGACATTTATTAATGCAAGAGTGCTCCCTTTTAGTACACTTGAGCAGCCTTTTATTTTATTAATGTTACTTGTTAAGTACACTAGTAAGTGCACTACAAGTGAACATTCAATACAAAGTCTATTTCTTTTTCAGGAGTGTATTCATAATGAGGGTCCCCTGTGTTTAGCCTGAAGCTCATGGTCTTGGTCTTGTGTGTGTGGTGTGTTTGTGTGAGCGTGTGTTTCCGGTGATGCACACACACATACACACACACACACACACACACACACACACACACACACAGGTTTACTTTTGTGAAAAGTGGGGACTCTCCATAGGCGTAATGGTTTTTATACTGTACAGACCGTATAATCTATTGCCCTACACCAACCCTACCCCTAAACCTACTCCTCACAGGAAACTTTGTGCTATTTCAGATTTTCAATACACTCCATTCTGTGTGATTTATAAGCGTTTTGAAAAGTGGGGACATGGGGTAATGTCCTGAAAAGTCACCTTCTCCTTGTAATACCTGTCATACCTTTGTCATTATACACATTTATGTCCTCATTTGTCACAAAAACGCGTACACACTCACACAGGTCTGTGAGGGCCGGCGGGTGGCGGAGAGCTCTGTTTGTGTTCACATTCCTTCTTGGTCTCATTGCGGTAATGACACAGATATCTGTGGCATGTTGTTAGGCAGGTGTTGTGACTGGGAGATAAGACGCTGCTTTAAACGTCTACAGAAGGGAAGAGGGATATTCTGGTAATGCAGCTGAATAACAAAAACAAGTGACACTCACAAATCTCCCACACACGCCTTGGATACTTTCTGCCTAAAAACAGCCACGCGGTGAGACTAGTTTGGCTGAACGTTCATTCCAAAATACACTAAACCTAACAAAGCAGCCTGGTTAATTCCACTCGTGACAGCTCCACAAACAACATTCCAGCGGCATTCAGTATTCAGGGATTCAACGCTGGCCAGTATGCAGAAAAAATGCTATTCCATGCGTTCAAGTGTGCCCGTTTGCTCCTGACTGCATTAGTGTGCTGCATGCAATCCCATAATTTCCAAACAGACTACATCTGTATCGCAGGTATTGACACGTACCTCAACTCTCTCTTCCTCAGGATCGGTCCAGGATGTACGACAGCTTGAACATGCACTCGCTGGAGAGCTCCCTGATTGACATCATGAGGGCGGAGCAGGACCCTCTGAAGGGTAAGATCCCTTTCCTGCTCACCATGAGAGTCTTATAAGGCTTTTGAAGACAGGAAGTCGAGGACAGTTTCACTATATATGGTTCATATGAGGTCTGTCTTCATCACTGTCAAAGAAGATCTGGCATTTGTACTGATTTAGCTTATTTTCATTAATGGATTAATTGAAATAAAAGGAGAATATGTTTTAGAAGATTACGTCGAGCTTTGCAATGGCCAGTGTTGCTTCCAGAGATAATGGTTCTTAATATCAAAAAGTCTGGTTATAAAACAGATCATCCGTGCTCTAAAATCTGATCGGATGACGTTCAGAGAGGTTGTAAAACAGCCAGTATACACACACCTATACACATAACATAACATAAACTTGCACAAACATGTTGCGTCTTTCATATTTTTTTTGTCTTGTAACAGTTTTTATTCATAAATTAGTCTAACGTAAGCAATAAGTTACCTGAGGCTGTGTGAAATAGTAAATGTCAGTATGAACGCACGGTTGATTATTCTGTCCCCTACTTATTGTGCAATAATCGACATATTATGACTCCAACATATTCAACACGTTATTACTCCAATTATCTTTAAATAATAGCATACATGTTATGTAATGTTTTCAAACACACAATTGCATTTTAATTGTAATTAAATTCAAATGTATTATAGTTCAAATTTATATTAAACGCAATAAGCTTCCCTGAAGTATGTAATATTACTACATAATGTACTGACGAGCATTTATGCTAAACTAAAATATACTTAAATGTCATTTTTATTGGAACGTGTATGTCATATAATTATAATGACACATTTGTAATGATCCGGTTGCATTTTACTATATTTAAAATATCTAACATAACTGTAAATGTACATGAAAAATACTCTACAGTTAAAATTATAAGCAAGTACTTTACATGTGCTTTAGTTGTTCATCAATACATCAAAATAAGTGTACTTCTTTAAAGCACAACAAAAGATTATTAAGACATAATGATTTAAAATGCACTTTAGGTGTGCACTTTAAAGTGTGTAAAGAAACAGCCATGCAAGTGTCTCTCTTTATGTACATTTAAATGACCTTTTATTTCATTATCTGTAAGTACAGTTTATTTTTAAATGTACTTTTATAAAATGTACTACAAGTGCACATGCAATACAATTAAGTGCACTTCTTTTTCACAAGGGATGCTAGGCCTCTGAAACGACTTTCCATTTTGGATGACATCCCAAATCCCTCTCAGTGTCCCCCCCTTTCCTTCATCTTACGCCCACTTTTCCTAATCAAGCGAAGTCTCGATGGATATAATCAAGTCCTCTCCTACACATTTTACACACAGAATATCGTACTGTAAAATAGGTTGCCAAGCCAACAGCGTTTTATGTTGGAGGTTTTCAGGTAATCTAATCATGGTAAAATCACTGTAATGCACTCTCTCTCTCTCTCTCTCATGTCCTTTTGCTTTATTTTGTGTTTGAGCGGCGTGTGTCTGTGTCATAGGAGGGCAGAGAGGTGCGTGTGGTGCTGTTATCAGGGTGTGGCACTGCGCTACACTCACTCTCTTCTCGCTCAGCCTGCTGGAGCAGATGGACCAGACACATGGGGCGGCACTCACTGCAGAGACCCAGAGAGGGAAGGGCGTGGGTACGGCTATATTTAGCGCAGGGCACACTCTGCCACCGTGTGTGTGACAGATACAAGACAGGAGAGAGAATGTGGGTCTCTACGGTTTACACAGGCCCTCCTTTAAAGTCAACATGAAACCTGATTTATGTTAGTACTTGATCGTGCATGACTGATAATGCAGCCGTTCTAAATTATTGCCGCAGTTAATGCTATAATTTAATGCTGGTTGCTGTCAATGTGATAAAGGTTATTGCAATGATAGCACATAACAATATATAATATATTCAATTAGCATTTCATGTTGACTTTAATCTGGAAATTGGGGGTTAATAGTACAAAACCATCAGATTATGATCTACAAGTTTTATTAGCTAAGCTTCCTGTGCTTTAGCTTTCCAAACATGGCATCATGCGCTTAATCGAACAGATCATGGGAGATGTGCTCAGCGAACCACATTTCTAAGAAACCTGTTTAATGAACGATGGTTCGGTTAATGGGTCGTCACGAGAGGATGCCAGCATCAGGGAATGTGCTGACTCTCGCTAAAGCGTTCAAAACAACGCAATGCTGTTGAAATATTAAACACTTGGCAGAGATATCAGACCGCTATACAGTATCGGTTTGTCTTGTGATGTTGTGCGTAATCACAAAGCAGATGAAAGGAAACAATAGTTTGATTTACTGTGGATAGACGATGAGAGCTCTGAAACATTGTAATGTCTCTAGGAGCATCCGCGTTTAATAAGTGGACAGCAGATGGTGTGTGTGTGTGTGTGTGTGTGTGTGTGTGTGTGTTAAGAGGACTTACACAGCTGATTCTCTGTGTACCTGGATGTTTTCTAAAAAATCTGTCAAACTAGATTATGGATAAATCTCAGGACAGCATGTCCAGGTTTCCACATTTGACCCCAAAATCCAAAAGAAAAAAGATTTTTATATTTTGGATATATATATTTTAAAAAAAGCCCTGCAGAAAAATACTCACTTTTGACTTGTTCTGCCAACTGTTAGACATCTAAATAACATTATCTGTGTGACAAATGAGCAGAATTGAATTGCCCTTCTCTCTATCTGACGGGGCCCCTTGCTTTGGTTGGGCCCTTGGAATCATGCTAACCATCCCCCATGTTGCAAAGCCCCTGACAAATACAGTAAATGTATCTGTGTCTTAAGTGCTCATGTGTCAACTGGTATGTGTCATGTGACAGAGCTTCAGATTTGATGCTCTATGTTTGCATATGTCACGTGACTGGGGTCAAACTTAAGGGTGACCTAGTAACACAGCAAAGCTAATTCATAATTTCTAATGTTTCTTGTTTCTTGTCTCATGAGAAACAAGGGCTTTGTTTCACAATCCTAATAGAATTAGAACCTCTTATAAGGCCTGTGATAATAACTGTATTAGCATTGACACCAATGCATCAGTCTGTTTAACACTGCAGTTATATCGTCTACCTCTTTAAATGCTCTGTCCGAGGGATTCTGATTAGCTGTCATTAGTGTTTTTATCATTCATTAGTTGGAGAAGTCATTGTGAATTTGATTCCAATGATATTATTCCTCTGTGTTGTTACCATTGAAGTTGTGATGTAGACTATTCTCAAATAATTAAAGTTATAGTTATTGTAAATGGTGTGAACGCGGCCAATTTGGATTCTAGCATTAAAATATAAGGAAACATACTACTCTTCACGTGAAGCGCGTGAGAGGACCAACCAACTGATTCTCTGTTGTTAGCATGTTGCTAATCTAAAGATACAATGTTCAACACATAAAAACACAACCAGAATTGCAGAGGTTGTTAGCTGGTCTGTTCCAGTGAGCTTGTTGCAGTGCAATCTGGGATCTAGATGCTAAAAATTTCTCCCTACATATGCAGCTCTGTTGGTTTTATAATGCTGGCATGTGGCTATATGTTTCATACTGCTCTCTCTCTCTCTCTCTGTCTCCCTCTCTCATGTTCAGGCCGTGTGGGATGCCCCCACCCAGCCGCTGATGGCCTACTCATGCTCAATGGTAATTATAACAGTGAGCTACAGTATTTTTTCTTCTGTCTGTAATACATTACAAAACAGTCCAATGTAGGACTGGAAATCTACATATTTTTGATGAAGACGGGCTGCCTGAAACAAGTTGTTATTCACATTGATGTAACATACTCTTAATATCACTCAAAGGTTCTGTCTTAATTCATTCATTTTGATGTAATGCTTGTGATGTAATGATATTTTCCTGTTATATTTGCATCCGAGTTACAAATGAATAGTTCCGCAATGGGATTTCAACAGTTTAACATTTTCATTTGATACATGGTGAGGTAATCCTGTCTGACCAATCAGCTCGCTGCATTCAGACGGAGCGTCTGCCAGTAGGGCTCCGTCCATTTTTAGCCAACGTGACTGAACTCTTGCTCATTGTGTTTGGCTGGGCTGATATTCGCTACGCTCAGTTTGGATCACAGTCTCTGAAGCTGGGCAGGATTGTGCTTTGCTCTTTTGTGATGACATATTTCAGTAACAGCTGTTGCTGTCTTTTTTGGATAATTGGATCATCATAGATTATACTCTAAAAATAACCGTTGTTGTAGCCGAAAGGCTTCATTTTGTTTGCTTTAATCAGTGGTGTTTACTAAGTCAAGCATCACTATTGCTCATATTTAGGGTTAGTGATCTGAACAAACCCCTAAACAGATGTATTACACTTACATTTTATGTAGGTACATTGATGGATTGACCTATCTAGAGACTAGATTATTGGTTTTGGGGATGGACTAGCAGTATAGCTTTGTTGATGGCCGATGCCAATATCTTGGAGAGCAGGATGGTCCATATCAAGCAATATATGCGATTACACCAGGTCTTCAACCCCACTTCTGGAGGCCCATGCTGTGTCTGAAATCGCATACTATCTAGTATGTTTGGGTTGAAACTAGGGATGTTCATTTCGGTTATTTTTCCTAACCGACAACCGACGCTCGTTAACCGATTATTAACCGTTAACCGATAAGATTATTTAAAATTAGAATTGAATTAAATTAGAAAGGATAAGTGTCTGTGTCCCGTTGAAAATACTAACATTTGTTTCCCGGGGATTCATTTTACATGCGCAAAAAATATTTTTACTTAAATAATAAATTAAGAAAATGAAAGAAAAACGGTGCAACAAGTATGCAGAGTTTCGGTTCTATTTTTACTTAAATAATAAATTAAAAAAATGAAAGAAAAACGGTGCAACAAGTATGCAGAGTTTCGGTTCATTTTTGTACTGCGCGAAAAGGAAACAGACGGCAGAAAGCGGCATTCTATTTTTCTTTAGGCTTATTTCACAAAACCACAAAGATTTGTTTTTATTGCAAATGTACACAAATAATGACAAACCTTTTACTATTCCGATTATCTTTATGACTAAAAGGAGTAGTTTCTTCCACTGTTAGAAAGAAAAAATTCAAGTGATTGCACGCACACAGTTAAGCATTGCTACCTTGACAATGCAGCCTGTTCATTATCATAATAAAATACAGTCAGTCAAACATATGGCTGTGATGTTATGAAAAACATTTCGTTTTACGTGGATATTGGAACGCGAGTGAAGTAGTAGGCTACATAATAAATAATATTCTGTCATTCAAATACATTGTGAATACGGAAACATTTGATTTTGTGTAGAATGAGAGACCCAACGTTGGTTTCAGTTTAGTTTTAGCCTAAATGAATTCGTTTTGGCTTGTCGTTTATATAGCTATAGCTTCTTATATTTTTAATTCTTGTTCTTTTCTAAATACTGTTAATTGAAAGGATTTGTTGTGGAGTGAGGGGACCTAAAATAGCCTAGCTAAATTTAGTGTTTATTATAATGTTAGTAAACATTTCACGTCGGCATTAGGCCTATTTCTGAATGAAATAATAAAACTTGACTTATACGCGACTAATGTTTTTTGTTTTTCTTCTCTAAAAAACAATAAAAATTATACACGTAGCATATTTTAACCATGCAGCAAACCTTTTTAACAGTAATTAACATTTTGATAAATTACTGAAAAGTTTTTTTTTATAAATTACTTTTTAAACGGTTTAACTAATTGTATTAATCGGTCAAAATTCTTACTATCGGTTAACCGGTTAAAATGAACATCCCTAGTTGAAACTTACTTCACGACTGTTCAATAAGTATGTTCTGTGGAGCATGAATATTGCCATGTTGTTACTGTCATGTGATCTTCTACCATCTACCATCAGTTGCATCGCTTCACTGCCATTCACAGATCCTCTCCCATGGCTTCATGGGATAGTGAATGTGCACTCCAGAATCTCTGCAGAAGTAGCATCCGGGTACTTTTCACGTACTTTCTTTTAATACTATGAATTCGGACTTACTACTCTTTTCACATACAGTTTTTCACCTACTCTAGTAGTATAGTACTACGAATTAGGCATATTTGGATGCAGCACCTGTGTCCCACAGAGTTTTGCTCCAACCCTTATCAAACACACCTGAACCAGCTAATCAATGTCTTGAGGACCACTTGAAAAATCACAGGCAGTTGTGTTGAAGCAGGTTGGAAATATAATGTGCCAGACATTGGGTCTCCATGAGCAGGGTAGAAGACCTCTGATTTAACTTTAAGATTCTTCAGTTTCCTTTCATTTCAACTGTGAAGCAAAAAGCTGGGCCAGTGTCATCACATTGTGGAACAACTAATTAGTGCAGCAAAAAAAATTGTCACATGTCACATGTACAAGCTGAGTGTACAGAGTATATGCAGTTGGAAAAATTGGGCTGCATTTGTATAGTAAGCACATACTATGACGATGACAAAATTTACATCACTGGCACTGTACACAAATCCCAGTGTACATGTTGCGTAAATTCTGTACGTTTGTGCTTAAGCACTGGGTTCTCAGTGCTGTCAAAATAAAAACCCAAGCCCGAGACTTACTGGCCAAACAGAGAGACTTAAAAATGGCGATAATTAAACATATCGGTACCGATAGTCTCAATTATTAATTATTTTTTTTCAATTGTTGATTGAAAATATCGGTAGTGTGTGTCTAGGATGTCTTGGGTGGTTATTAGTGGTTGCTACTAGTGGTCAACTGATACATCTGAAGACACCCTAGCAACACACTGACAAAAACACTTACAACACCTTAACAATAACAAAAGCAATTTCTAAAGCCAATGGTATACTTACCTTATCT